GTCTTTTTAATTTAGACATTTTGGTGTGTAGTGGCATTCTAGCAAGGTTTTTTCTTGGTGTGCAGTGGCATCTTATTATGGTTTTAATATTCATATTGATGAGTGAGTTGAGCAAGTTTTCATGTGTGTATTGGACTTTCATATATCCTCTTTTGTGAAACAAGTGCCTGTTCAGATCTTTTGCCAATCTTTTCACTGAGCTAATTTTATTATTATTATTGTTAATCAATTTCTTTACTCTGGATACAATACATATAAGAGTATATACAGGAAATAGCTCTTTATCTTTTCATTCCCTTTTGCCTAAGGCACTTGACTGCTAACCAGAAGGCTGGCGGTTCAAACCCACCAGCCACTCCTCGGAAGGAAGGCTGGGCAATCTACTTCCGTAGTGATACCACCTTGGAAACCCAAGGAGGGGTCACTATGAGTCAGGTCTGACTCGACGGCACATAACAACAACAACAATGAACAGAAATGACTATATTTTTTTTGCATTTATTGATGTTTTCCTTTGTAGTTAGTGTTTTATGTGTCTCATGTAAGAAATTTTTGCCTGTCTCAAGATGCTAAAGATAATCTCCTATGTCATACTTGAAACTTTATTGTTTTCACCTTTCACATTTAGAATTTTATTTCTTCTTGACTTGATTTTATGAATGGGTATGGGCTGGGGATCAAGAGTCTTTTCCCTTCCCATGGTTATCTAGTTGACCCAACAGCAGTCTACTGAAAAGACAGTCCTTTCCTCACTGTTCTATGGTGCTACCTTGTCATAAATCAAATTCACATACATGTGGGTCTGTTTCTGGACATTCTACTATGTTCCGTTTGTCTAGTTGGCTATCCTTTTGCTAACACCACACTCTCTCAATTATTTCCTCCAGCTTTATGATAAATCTTGATGTCTTAGTGTAATTCCTCAAAATTAGTTTTTCTCATTCAAGAATGCTTTGACTACTCCTAATCATTTGCTTTATTTAATCCTCACAAAAATTTAACTTACTCCTCACAAAAATCCTATGAAATAAGATAGTTATAATCTCCACTTCACAGATTGGTGAACAGATACTCAGAGAAATAAAGTAATTTGCCCGCAGCCATACAGCCAGTGAGTGTTGGGGAAAGACTGAAACCAAGTACTTAGATCTAAACTTCATATACTGTCCTCTAACTTCTAAAGTCATATGACTCTGTCAGGGCATTTAACAAGAATGCATTACAATTTTAAGAAATTCTAATGTTTTAAACTACCCACTTTTCTAGTTAAAAGTCTTGTCTGGTTGCTACAAAAAGCCACTTTCCTGGTGAGACTCAGAAAAATAGAGCCACCATAAATAAAAGCTTCCTTGGATTCCTGCCACTGCCCCCCCTTCTCTAGGCGGTCGTCTGGATTGTACAGCATCTGTGCCTGCACAGCCCGTTCCGCCTGCTCCTCTCTACTGCTAAGTCCTCCACCACTCCTCTCCTTTTATTCTTAAGCCACATACTTGACTACTTGTGTTCTCTTGCTAAGCCCAGGTCTTCTGTGGAGCTATACCTCCACTCAGAACACTCTCTCCTACTCCTGGCTACCTGCTCCTTTTTCTTTCAAATCTGGGCATCGCTTTCCTCAAGAGGCATTTCCAGACCTCACCTGGGTTGGGCACTCCTCTTCCTCTGTGCCCCATCCTAGAAGTCACACTGTCCTAGAGTTCAGTTGTCTGTCTCTCCATCTATATTATAAGGAACTGGAGGATGGGCTGGCACTGTTGCTGTGTTCAGCAACCTGCATAGTGCCTAACAGGACAGATGTTTGCTAGAAAATCCCGAAAGAAACCAGAGACATACTTTTTTCTTTTTGCTATGTGATGTAATCAAATAACAGACTCTAAGATGAAGCCTGAGAGAAATAATTTCTAATAGGTCTAGGGCATGCTGCTTGGCAGAAGCGGCAGATTAGAAGACTTAGGGAAGAGATGGAAGTACTTTCTGTGAAGGACTTGGGCTTTCAGTTGAGACAGAACAAGATCAAGTAATTGAACGATCAAATATTGAAAGGATACACACACACACACATAGTAAGGCAAATTGTGACTCATTAAAAAATTTCAGAAGCAGCGAAATGTTATATGAAATATACAATTAAACTAACAAGACATGTTCTGAGATTTAGTCATTCAACAAACTCTGAGAGTTTGGTGCTTAGGGCAGCTACTTCTCTTGCTCACCATCTTCAAAGTGATGGTTTAAGGTAGGTAGGGGCAGGAAAAATGGGGTAGTTTCTCCAATGGTGATATTTTCAGGAGAATGAGACATGACACTCTTACTTGAATAGAAACCAAGAGCAGATCCAGGCCTAGAGCTCCATAATCCTCAGCCTACTTGACATGCTTTCAGCCCTTGGTGCCAACCCAAAGGGAAAAGAGCACAAACATGGTGAAATTTTTGAAAGCCTCTAGGTTAACCAAAAGCTAGCTAGCTTTTTTCATTAAGAATATATTTCTGTAAACATCGTCCCATAAGTACCAAACTGACCCTTGTTTACAACCATTAAAATGGAGAAAAGGAAAAACTATCTGCTCTCCAATCCAGGTTTTCCATATTCTCAGTTAATTCACATTTTCATGGTCAGTCTGTTTACTGAAAGACAGAAACGATTAAGTGCATCTTAAAGAAGGGAAAAACACTCTAGTCCTCCACATTCTTCATGGTTTCCTCTGTTGGCTTTGATGCTCAACACAAGGGCTTACTTTTTCTTCTTTTAGAAATTCAGAATCTAGGACATCATGGGGCCACTGGTGTTGTGAGGAACAGATCCTCTTTTGGCATGAGAGATTCCATTAATTAGCTATTTTTCTCAAAATTCTGGGGAGTTTATTGACATTTGGGCAGTTTAGGCAACTTAAAAATAAAATCTTCAAACAACTTAAGAAAAGTTTCCATCTTCAACTTATGCCTTATGTTAGAAATAAATTTCCAGAAAATGAATGTCAGAGACTAGGCACTCATGCTGAACGCTAGATGCTTCCACTTCAAATTTATAACCCCCCTCCTATCTACCTTAGAAAGGATTGCTACATGGATTGCAAACATGAATGACCGATTCATTTTCTGCCCAGATATAAAAATCTATTTATAATATTTTCCTATTTGGGCGGTGGGGGTGGGGTGGGGGAGCAACTAGCGGGAAGCACAAACAAAAAGCTGGCTAGGAGTCCATCAAGTTCTGTTCTCCTTTCACTCTGTTGCCAAACATGAGCTCTAAGGTAGCAGGGCTGTGTGTAACACTGTATATGGCTATATGGCCCACACGCTTTTATGGTACACAGTTTAAGCTCAGTTTCACTGATAACTAGACCACCCTGAAGAACACCTTGGAGTTTAGCTGACTCTGTAAGATGCCAACAACTTGGGGCCAGGTTCTCGTCAGTGAAATGAACTCTAAGGAGCTAAGGTTATAGTGTACATCTGGGCTAGACATTAACAAAGAGGGAGCAAGGGCTGGCAGTTTAGAATCTTTTAAGCAGGAAGACAAGTTGCTGTAGGGTGCCAACAACCTCCTTATACCATAGTAGGCAAAGGAGACTAGGGCTATTACACAACAAACCCCAGTCCACTTTGATGCCCTTTGGGTTAGAGGAGAAAAAAAACCATTTGGGAAATGCAGCTGCCTGAACAGAAATTCATTTCTGAGACACTAAAAGCTCTGATGGGAAAAGGGCTCTGGGGATTATGGCCGGGAAGGAGAGCTGTCCTGGCGTCAGCCAGTGGGTGAAGGACCCAAACTGAATGTCAACATTACAAGTAAATCTGCTTCCGTGGCTCCATCACATGGAAATAGCAAATACAGAGTTACTGTGTTAAGAACAGAGGAACTTTTGTACACATTCTGAGTGAAAAGCTTATTTTAATGATGTTTGCTGAAATCCCAGGTTTTTTACATCTGTTTTCAAAGGAGAAGTGTCTTTCAAATATGGTACATAAAAAACAGCCCTATTTTCAATACAAAATCATAGATCGATAGATATACTAATTTCAAATTGCAAAATATATTGCACAGGAAGAGGGAAGTGATACTCTGGATATAGGTTTAATTGGTGATAAGGATTCTCTTGTCTGTATTTAAATATATTTCCCAAGTTCTGAACCATGAGCCTATATTATTTTTATAATAATAATAATAAAATTATACTGTCCTCTTCTCTTCCCAAAGATGGGCTTGTTCTCTGTTCTGCCTAGAGACTGATGAAAGCATGGGGGACCAGTCCAGACCATGCTTGGCACTCCTGAGTTTTCACCTCTGCTGTAATGTCCTGACACCTCCTAGCAAAATGTCAAGTATGAGAAGCTAATACTGGCCTACTTTTTTGCTGAAGGATGAAGTACTTAAAAAGAAATAAAGACAACAGAGTAAAACCTGTGGAAATAAATTACAAAATCTTTTCTTTCTAATTCCTAAGAGATTTATTTTATCCTTCTATTTCTAGAATTTTTCTAAGTGGGACCTTTTTGAACATGAGATAGGGTTAGATTCAGGGAGAATGAACATTTTGTTAAATACTGAATGATGATCAGAGAAAGGAATGAACAGCTTAGTTAAAAGCACATTCAGCAGGATACCAAAATATAGCAGAGCCTCGTATAAACAGCATGGATTACATTAACAGGCCTCCCTGGTTGAATAGAGTCTTATTCCCAACTCTTTTTCCCTACCCTACCCTCACCCCATGGTTATATAACCTTTAGAACGGAATTTGGAAATTCTTCTGACCCTGTCCTGCTTACTGATAGAGCTGAGCCAGTGGCTGGCAAGGGCATAATCTAATAGGCAAATCTGGAAACACACCATTTTGCAGTCCTCTTGTCTCAGCCCAGAGACTGTGCAGGCAAGGAAAGAAAGACTCGGCCCTGTATCCCTCCTCCCCTCCTCTGGCCTAAGTTTACGCTGACTTCACTCAGCAGGCACCTGACCCTCCCAGATGAGCTGGGAGGGGCTAAAGCGCTGTGCTATGCATGGACATGGTGGGGTGGAGGTGCAGGCAGCAAACGATATTTAAGATGCGGAGTTGGTAGAGCATTCAGGCTGAGGAAGAAGGGCTATAGGATACCCAGTTAAGGTCCACTTTCAGAAACTGAAGCTTGGAAGAGGCTAAGAAAGAGCAAGGAAGGAAAAGAAACCAACAAAGTGGCTAGATAGTCAAGAGTGAGTGTAAGGGTATAATTTGCCACAGCTTTGCAAACCTTAACTGGGCATATCTAGATTCCCCCCCCCCCCCCCCCCCCAAAGGAAGATTCTCCTCCACCCAGGTCCAAGAACGATGCTGAAAAAGACACCCTCTGCTATGACCTGGCTCTGCATTTTCATTGTGGCCTTTGCCAGCCACCCTGTGTGGCCGCAGAAGCCCACTACGCGTAAGACAGCTGGACAGCTCAAAGTGGCCGCTTGCTGTGAGGAGGTGAAGGAGCTCAAGGCCCAAATCGCCAACCTGAGCAGTCTGCTGAGCGAACTGAGCCAGAAGCAGGAGAGAGACTGGGTCAGCGTGGTCATGCAGGTGATGGAGTTGGAGAGCAACAGCAAGCGCATGGAGGTGCGGCTCACAGAGGCTGAGGGCAAGTACTCTGAGATAAACAACCAGATCGACATTATGCAGCTGCAGGCAGCACAGACAGTCACACAGACCTCGGCAGGTAAGAAGGACGTGTCTTCATGCTGCTCACCACCCTCCCCCTCAAACAGCACTGTTTTTAGATAACTTGGGAACTGCAACAATTACTAGGAGTTCTTCTTGGATACATGAAACTGGCTCTATTCTCCCCTATAGTAAAGGCTTGAGGAGTTATTTCTTTTGTTGGTTCTAATTTCTGTAAATTTACCCAGGACCATCATGGGTCTCTTTTATTTACACAATGTTTCCACAAGTTAGAAAGGTGTGAATTATCATCTTGAACCACAGAGAGAGTATATGTTTTGTTCAAAGTCACACAGCAAGCCTTAGAAACAGAGTTCATGTCTTCCTGGGTTGGTCTATTTACACTGCTTCCTTACCAAGAAGAGCTGACAGGCTATATACCCTCCATCCCACAGAAGGAGGAATGAATGCCAAAACCTGATGCTCTGGAAGCAAAATTTTGCCAGAGATAGTTCTCTGGTGCCCCTAAGATTTAGTTGGGATGGACATTAATGGAATTTTGGGTCCTCTCTTTGCAACCTGTCCTCTTGCTGGCACAGAATTAACTGTACAGACACTGCCTACAACTATTTGAAGAATGAATGCTTTTTGTTCAGGAAGGGATGGGTTCTTCAATTCTAGTATTTGTTTTTCTCATGGTCTCAGATAAAATTCTCCCAATATAGGAAATAACAAAATGCTATGCTAAAATGTGGATTCTCAAAGGTCAAAATTAAGATACAGTTAATGTCTTCTTTTGCATAATAACATGCAGTTTCTGGCTGGCTTGGCTCAGGAGGGCTCAGAAATGAATTTATGGTTCATAAGTGAATTTTGTTTTCTAAAATTATCAGGAAATGAACAGTTGTAAGGGACATATTGTACAGACATGTCATTTCTTGCTGACACAAAAACTTATGGGCACCTTACAAACCAAGTCAAGAACAAAGAAATGATTAGCTTCGGGCATGAGAGCTGGTTCTAAAGAGTAAGTCACTAATGACCGTACCCTTAATCCCAATGAAGAAAAAGTTTTAGCATAAAATAAGCTTGAAAACTTGGTTATACAAACCAATGTGGAATAATAACTTTTTGAACATTTACTTTCAGACCCTCAGTTTGGGATAGAAAGGTATTCTCAGGCCATTTTCCAGACAAGTGAGTCCTGAGTTGGTCTGTGAGATGAAACCAGAAAGGCAGAAGAGCAGGCCAGACAGGAATCTGACCACGCAGCTTCTGCGCCTCCAAACGTGACTTTCTCACCACCCAGCAGGGAGTATCTTGGGGGTTAAATGCAGCTCTTCTACGAGGCTTCTTAATCTTCTTGCCCAGGAGAAGATTCCTTATTTTCCTTCCCTATTACTGGCTTTATACTCTGTAAGGCACCACTTTTATACTCTGTAAGTAGATAGCCCCTTGGAGAAAGCAGTAAGTTGAGATGTTTTCATCAATAAAAGGACATGAAGAACTCTGATGGCAAAGGAAGGGTACCCCTAATTCTCCTCCCCTACTGTGCTCTGCAGAAGAACCAAGCAGCCTTTGACAACTCCTATGGCAGAAGTGTTACTTCCTGCCATCTTTGTGCTCTCTTCTAAGGCCCCACCCAAGAAATGAATCCCAAGACATATAGGGTGGGACATCTCCTGGACAGTAAGATTTCTTGCTCTCTGAATCCCATCATGGAAAGCTGTCTCTCCCACAATGCTCTTTGATATTGGGAACGGGGATACAAAATCTGGCATAAAGCAACAGCCCCAAGGGCCAAGGAAGCATTTAAATCAAGCCCAGAGTGAAAATCTGCCTGTCCATGCTCTCATTTCCTTGTTTTAATAACATTGCCAGGGGAGGGCCTCAAAGGGTTCCTTAGGGCATTTTCATTCTTATTTGAGACTCTTGTAGTGTTAAGACTAAGCAGGGACAGATAAGATTGTAAAAATCTATCTCCCTTAATTAGGGTCCTAGTTGACAGGAGACATTACCCTCTGAAAACCAGCAACCATAACCAACCAACCAACCAACAGTAACAAAACCACATGGTATAAGATACTCATAACTTAACTGCTGACAGAGGCTGGCTGGCTGAAAAATCTTAAATCTATTTAACAGGGCCATCTGTTATGATAAATGTCAGGAACCATGACCCTCACACATTGTAACATTTCTAGAATTCAGAGTTTAAGACTACAGCAGAATAATTGTAGAGTTAATCTGAAATCCCATTGTCCCCAAATTGTCCCGTTGATGCTATCCAGGTTAAGGGCTTCCCCACCTCTTGCTGAAGCCAAAATGCAACTCCTCTCATCTCCCTAGTCCACCTTTCCCAAATCCAGACACTGTGTACTAATTAACACTGATCATGGTAGGAATGAAGCCTCCATTTTTAAACATTCAGTTTAGATGTGGCAGGAATGGTCCATATGCTACAGAGCCCCTGAGTCTGGATGCTCACCCCTGTGGTTTGCTCCCTTTGTAGATGCCATCTATGACTGCTCTTCCCTCTACCAGAAGAACTACCGCATCTCTGGAGTGTATAAGCTTCCTCCCGATGACTTCCTGGGCAGCCCTGAACTGGAGGTGAGGTCCACTACAGCACGCTGCCTCAGAACACAGATGTTCCACCATCTGCCCTCCACCCCTCAAAGGGATGGAGACAACAGGGGTTATTTATAGTCTAAAACAGGAAAGCAAACATACCAAATACCAGAGAGCTGGCCACTCAAAAATCCAGGCATCTGTTATGCCCCTTTAAATCAAAATCAACTAAACACCAAACCTTTAACATGTATTAGATACTTCTTATAACCACCAGATTATTAGTTTAAATCTTCTGCTCTGTCCTAGGGCAGTTATTCTTTAGGGAGGGGAAAGGAGAGATCATGAAGGGGGCATATCAGAAGTACCCAATTTTCTTTCCTGCAAACTATATGTATATCACACCTCCCCAATTCTGATAATCCTCCTCAGTAAACCACTGCTCTGCCTTGGTTTGCCAACAATGAAATGCTGGTGTAGAGTACCAGTGTGTACATCCACTGGATCAACGAGTGGGAAAGGTTGGAAGGCCTGCCCACATACTCCTGACACCAGCTTCTCCTAGTCCCTGACCCAGCATCCTCTGTTCCAGGTGTTCTGTGACATGGAGACTTTAGGTGGCGGCTGGACCATCATTCAGAGACGGAAGAGTGGACTTGTCTCCTTCTACCAGGACTGGAAGCAATATAAGCAGGGCTTTGGCAGCATCCGTGGTGACTTCTGGCTAGGGAACGAGCACATCCACCGGCTCTCCCAACGGCCAACCCGGCTACGTGTGGAAATGGAGGTGAGCATGAGCCTGGGCCCCCGGGACTGTAGCAGGGTCGCCACACACAGCTGTGTACAACCCTAGGGTACTAGTCTTATATTTGTGTTTTTATTATGACGAGTTTCCTGTAGGTTGCAAGTACATTTGAGGAAAAACAGCTTCTTTTCCCGTTTTACACAAAAGCAGGGCTGTAGGCTGTATAAAGAGGAGGCTTGGCCCAGGCCCTTGAAGTGCTAACATTACTGATACTAGTGGTACCCCTTGTCAAAGGCCTGGAATCATGTACTATATATTCTCACATTCCTCTTATAACACCTCTAAGTAGGATGAACAAACATACAGACAGGGAAGTGAAAGAATAAAGAACGAGAGACTAATCAAGGTCATATTATGAATCAGGAGAGGAGTGTTCTGAGTCCCAGGTTGGTATGGAGCAGAGGGGAGCAAGTTATAAAGGCTAACTAGATTCACAGCTATACAAAGAGGTGGCTGTGGGGCTGGGATGGTCTGAAATGAAGCCCTGCTGCAGTTACCCGAAGGCTCTGTCTCCTGCCTGACAGGACTGGGAGGGCAACATGCGCTATGCCGAGTACAGCCACTTTATTTTGGGCAATGAACTGAACAGCTACCGCCTCTTCTTGGGGAACTACAGTGGCAATGTGGGGAACGACGCTCTCTTCTATCATAACAACACAGCCTTCAGCACCAAGGACAAGGACAATGACAACTGCTTGGACAAGTGTGCACAGCTCCGTAAAGGTGAAATGGGGGGGTGGGGAAAGGAAGTTCAGGAATATGCCTGTAAGCCACTTGAAGAGAAAGCATGAATTATAACTACATACAGGTGGCATTCTCTATGGTACCTTTGCTCCAGGTTCTCATTGCTTACCTACTGTTTAAAGAGCAACAACAACAAATCCCTGAGGTCTAGGCTGTCATCACTTTTCAAGGGGAGGATACTCTTAGCTTACTTTCGTTTCTTGTGCCAGGTGGATACTGGTACAACTGCTGCACAGATTCCAATCTCAATGGAGTTTACTACCGCCTCGGAGAGCACAGGAAGCACCTGGATGGCATCACCTGGTACGGCTGGCACGGATCTACCTACTCCCTCAAAAGGGTAGAGATGAAAATCCGCCCAGAAGACTTCAAGTCCTAAAAGGAGGTCTTCTGGGGAGCAGGGCTGCAGAGATGGAGAAAGACGGAAACTGGGCAGGGGCAGAGGAGGGGAGAAAGAGCATAGAGATAGGGTGGGGATGGAAAACAACCTGCAATCTCCAATAAGAGAGTGCTCTGAGAAGCACAACAAAATGATACGTACCAAGGATGCTATGACAAATGGGACAAGAAGGTGTTTAAACACAGTGGGTCCTGAGACAGACTTCTCAGGGGCCAGACTGAGGAGCTCTCTGCCAGTAATTCCCTAACAAAGTAGCAGCTTGTCTCTTCCACAATATTTTTCTGTGAAAAAACATAATTGTGAAGTCACTTTATCCATTTTCTCTAAGGCCTACATTATGTGAAGGGTAGGAAACAAATTCCTTTGCTAAAAAGAACTATTTAATTTCGATTCTCAAGGGAGAGGTCTTGGGTACTAGAGAAAGGATGGAAAGAGTGTGGGGGAGGAACGGAGTTTCTATTTTTAAATCTAGTAAAATTATCTTTAGTCTTTACATTTTTAATTAAAATACAAAAACTGTTCTGCTAGAGGTGAGCTGACCCAGGTGGGAACTGGGCCTTGCATCACAGTGCACCACTGGAGGGAGCGCCTGGGGCTAGCAGTCTCAGGGGAGCACCAAAGGTGTAGGTGTAAGCGCCTCACAGACCTTCGCACAAAACTGCCTTCAAACATTCAGAGTCAACACAGATTCAATTCCTTATTTACTTTGTGAGTAAAGGGCTCAACAGGCTTCCTTTATCTTGCTTGTAAGACATTACTGAAAATAACGGTAGATGGCGCTGTGGTTAATAACTCATGCTATACATAAGCACTTTGCTTTATAAAAATATTATAGTTTGTGTTTCAAATATTCAAAGTTTCTTTTTCCTTTCACAATAAATTTAAACTTGGTTGCTTTCTTTTTTAATTCTTACTATTATCACTTAACAGTATTGCTAAAGTTTTAAGTAAAATATCAGACGATGAGCAAAGGGAAAGAGTTTGTCTCAGTATTCCGGGAAACAAGGGAGAACAAGGACCCAAAAAGAAAAGGTGAGGGGCAGAAAGGGCAGCCGATGCTGACAATAGACCGTGGCCCACCCAACTAACCCCCCCTAGTCACTGCCACCACATTCATCACAAGGTTTCAAAATACTTTGCAAACAAACACTCCTACTTCCTACTTGATTAAATTAAAACACAGAGAGAAGGAAAGCATCCTTAACCATAACTGGTATCATATAATTCGGACCTTTAGGAAGCTATTTTTCTTTTTCTAAAAAGAACCATTCTTTTGAGCCAGTCAGTGTAAGGCAAGTCATTATTCTCACTCAATATTTGCTACTGTACCTATAATACAACTGATTGTTGAAGCTCTATTTAAGCTTTAAAAGTAAGAATCTGGGGATTTTCAAAGGAATAAGCAAAGTGAGAGAGAATGGCATGGGGGTAGGACTTCCCATGGGAGAGGCGTCCAATAGCAACTTCCTAGGGGAGGCAGAGGAGTGAGAGATGCTCAGCAGCCAGCACAACAGAGCCAGGGAAGAGATGGGGAAAAGATGAGGGCTGCGAGGAGAGGAAGAAGAGAGCAAGAATACATCCAGTTGCCCAGCTTGGCACAGGATCCTCTGGATGCCCAAAGCGGAAGGAGCATTTATCACTCTTCTCTGTAATCTTCTATACATCCCACAACTCAACAAAGGCTGAGGCTCTTAAGTCAGCCTCTGTGATTTACTTTACTCTTCTGGGAGGAACTTGTCAGAGAAAGGGGCAGAGGGAACAGGGAGAGCAGCTGATAACAAATGCACGGAATATCCTCCAACCCATTTAACCTGCAGTGGTGCAGGTGGATGATGGGTACCAAAGATTCAGAGATGAGAGCCCAGTGTCATCTCCGACCTTAACGAAGACATGTTAGGAACCCAAAGGAGAGCGCAGTGTTGCTCTCAGAGGTAAACAACATTTTGCTCTGACCAGGTTTATGAAGATATGTGAGACAAAATAGCACAGAAAAGAACAGAGCTGTGCAGAAAAAATGAACAAATCAAGCCCAACAGGCAGCTGCCAGAGCTGTATGTTCACTAATTTTAATTTTGTACATGTCTCCATCAGAAAATTTAATAAAGGGGGTCACATGCAGGGGTTAGGCAGTGATGGAGAAAGAAAAGCAGGCCCTAGACCATACCCTAATGCTATGTGCTAACCTAGTAAAAGCCCCACAGTGGTGTGTGTGGGTGTGTACATGTGTGTATATGTGTGTGTGTTCCCACATAATTGAATACACGCTTAATCTTCTGTTCCCCTAAGAAGCAATTACACTTACTTATCTATATGAGCTTTGAGGAGACAGGAATTGCTTCAATGTGGGCTGTTTTGAGGATTACATGCGGGATTTAATTTGTCCTGGAGTAGAAGGTGAAAATGTCAATAGGTAGGAAAACAAACAGATCACGCCAGCAACAAGACAATAATACCGTCAGCAGGGCACTGCTTCTGAAAACAAAAAATAAGAAACCACTGTACCAAAAAAAAAAAAAAAAAGATATTTTTGTGTATGGACATCTCTTGAGCTGTTCCAAAAAGAATTTAAAGCAATTGATTGATTCAAATATGTGTAGAACAATCTTTTTTTTTTTTTCAACGTAGAGAAACTGGTGAAGGAAAATAAGAGTAGGAAAAATAAAATAATATCAAGGATGGTGGTTCATATTCAAAACAGATAAATTCAGCTGTGAGCTCTCCAGGAGCCATTATGAGGAAGGGAATTCAATCTATTACCGAAGAGTAGAGGCTCAGGGACATACAAGCACCGCTGATCCTGACCCCTGAGAGGAGTTGCCACAAGGCTCATCTAGAGGCCTGAGGGTAGTGCTGTGTGCTCAACAGCAGGGGTGCCTGGGGCAGTTTCTTCAAACTGCCTTCAATGAAACTGATGGCACAACACCACAGTGGTGCTTAGGAAAAACAGTTTTACAAAAATCAGAAGTAAAAGATGCAAATGGAAATGAAAAAGAAAGGTGTCTAGAAGATATGACAGACCAACTAGATGGAGTCAAAACTGCAAGCTGAGTGGAATCAGACTAGAATGAGCTTGAAGAGCTTAGAGTATTAGATTTACCTTATGGCAGAGCTTTTTTCTTCTTTCTTAAGCCAGGATCAATCTTCAGGAAATTCTGATAAAAATTTGTGGGCTTATTTTCAATTACATTTAAGATGCTAAATGACCCCTTAACATTTTTCGAGGCCTCTAACTGATTCTTTCTACTACATATCTGCATAAACATTAATCCTTCTATGATTGTCTTCAATATGGGGAAAAAACTAGGGGTAGGATGAGAGAGGTTTCAAATAGATGTCAAAGACAAGAAGGTTATGAAAGAAATTAACATGCAAAACTAGTCCTGATGCTGAAGTTCTCCTATTCAGTTACAAGGTTTCCATTAGTTATCACAAGAGACTGCATCACCCAAGCCAGAGATGGAGGAAGAGATGTGGGTTTTCAGAGTGGCTGTTTCTTATCTGGAACGAAACATGCCTCATGGGACACATCTTTCTAACTGCTCCTAGATAGTATTTTAGAAATCAGCATTCTCTCAAAGCCCAATTTATTAGGGCAGAAACATGATTCTATCTTTCTGGTCCCTTTTAAAAGTGTTTAAAGGAACACTTCTTAGCACCTACCAAAAAGCTGAGCTAGCAGAGAACATGACCATTAGATTATCTTCTCAGGTAAAAGCAGCACTGTATACACAGCAGGTTCTTTCAGCCACAATGGAGGAACTTACTAGCTGGGTGCTTTTTCCTAAATTATCTGTAGTGAAATGATCCAATGTGTTAGCATTTTCTTGGAGATAATTAGATCCCAGAGTTAATATTTTCTGATAATCATTAGGGGAAGTGAAGCGTTCTCTAGGAGTGGGAGCTAACATTTCAGGCGCCTTATGATTTCATAATAGCAGAAAACTGATTAAACAACCAGTTTTTCCATACCCAGAAGACTCAAAGCCATTTTATGAGGACAGAACATAACCATGTCAGGGGAAAAGACCATCAAATCTCAGATTTTGCTCTTCCTTTTCTATTCACAGAACCCAGGTATTAGTATATTTAGTCAACAATACCCCAAGCCAAAGCTGCAATGAAAGAACTGGAGAAGAACAAGGCTCCGGGAATTGATGGCATACCGATTGAGATATTTCAACAAACCGATGCCCCATTGGAGGCACTCACTCAGTTATGCCAAGAGATTTGGAGGACTGCTACCTGGCCAACCGACTGGAAGAGATCCATATTTGTGCCCATTCCAAAGAAAGGTGATCCCACAGAATGTAGAAATTATAGAACAGTATCATTAATATCACATGCAAGTAAGATCTTACTGAAGATAATTCAGAAACGTTTGCAGCAGTATATTGATAGAGAACTTCCAGAGGTTCAAGCCGGATTCAGAAGGGGACGTGGAACAAGGGATATCATAGCTGTTGTCAGATGGATCTTGGCTCAAGGCAAAGAATACCAGAAAGATGTTTACTTGTGTTTTATTGACTATGCAAAGGCATTTGATTGCGTGGATCATGACAAATTATGGATAACATTGAGAAGAATGGGAATTCCCGAGCACTTGATTGTACTCATGAGGAATCTGTACCTTGACCAGGAGGCTGTCGTTCAAACAGAACAAGGGGACACTACATGGTTTAAAATCAAGAAGGGAGTGCGTCAGGGTTGTATTCTGTCTCCACACTTATTCAATCTATATGCTGAGCAAATAATCCGAGAAGCTGGACTATATGAAGAAAAATGTGGTATCAGGATTGGAGGAAGAATCATTAACAACCTGAGATATGCAGACGATACAACTTTGCTTGCTGAAAGTGAGGATGACTTAAGGCACCTACTGATGAAGGTTGAAGAATACAGTCTGCAGTATGGATTACATCTCAATATAAAGAAAACAAAAATCCTCACAACTGGGCCAATGAGCAGCATCACAATAAATG